ATCGGATAATAATAATAACTTCTAGAAAGAGGACTGAGGTTTGGAGGGTAACGGGAGATTTAGCCTTCTCTGCAATATTTTCATTGTTTGTCAAGAGAACGTACTCATGTATTATTTGTTCCATATGAAACAAGTAACAGTTAAAAGACATTGTGGCATGGAGGCGGCTGAGGAGGGAGGAGTACCAGCTCCGTCAGGTGTGATGGTGCCCAGCTTGACAGCTAACGGGTAGCCTGTCTCCCTGTAGTGCTCCGCGGCATGGTTGTTGCCCCCACTGCCATCGAAGTAGCGTCGGCCACAGAGGATGGAGCCATCGGTCAGGTTGAGCCATAGGTTTTCTCTCATGTCACACTTGGAGCACTTCCAGCCACTAACCCAGGAGAAAAAAATGGGCTGAAATATGGATCAGGGGTATTGCAGAGTGGAGGAGAAAGGGGACTCTCCGGGCCCTGCCAATCCATGAGCTCTCTGTCCTCCTCTGCTCTGGACATCCCCTGTTTAGTTCTTCTCCCCCACGTCTCCCTAACTGTCCTGCTCCCGGCCCTCTCTCCCACCAGATCCCCCAGGAGGGTGGCCTCTTTGCCCCTGCTCTGGGGGTTGTGCCTCGAGGTCGAGGGGCCAGGTCTCACCAGGGAGGGATTCGAGCAGGGTTGTCCAGCTGCTTGAGGTTGAAGGCATGCTTAGACACCTGCCGTACTTCCCCATCCCAGGCCTGCACCTCCTGCTTGCGGGAGGCTGAGTCGGCCGACAGTAGAGCTTCCACTGCACTGGTCACCTGGGGAAAGCAGAGGGTCAGAGACAGTGCCCAGCCACAGCCCCACGTGCCCCTCTGGCACTTGGTCTTCAGCTTTCTCAGTGCTTGCCCTAAAATTTTTGGAGGGCGGGAAAATGTTCATACCCGGTCTCTGACAAACTCAGGCAGTCCCCCCAACCCATCCCGGGCAATCTCCAAGTAATCTGGCAAAATGACAATCTTCACATCCTCATCGTACTCAAACTTGTCCTCGCTGATGTCAAACCCGCCTTCGACACCTGGTGAGACAGGGAAGAAGAATAGTAGGACAATGGCCACAGGTAAATGTTCCTTCCAGAGCTCAAGGCCCACTGATGAGGCTCATTCCTTTGGGGCTTTCCCAGTACTTCTGAGAGCAGGGAAGACCAGCTCCGGGAGAGGAACGGGACCGCGGTGGTGCTCACCAATAGCGAGCCGGGTGGGCTTCTTCCGTGGGGGGTCTCCAGTGCCCGTAGTGGTGTCCTCCTCTTTCTGCAACGAGGCAGGAAGGCAGGATCAGCAACGAGGACCAGGTCAGGGACAAAGGGGGAGAATGGACGGGATGCACTGAGTTAATCTCAGAAGAGAATGGAGCTAAAACCCATGTGTGCTGGGTTTTCACGATACCAACAGACACAGGTGAGAGGGGAATTGAGGCCTACAGAAGTCAGAACGGAACAGATTCAAAATGGGGGCCCAGTGGGACATGCCAGGATGTCCCCAGGCCCAGTCCCTACCACTACCAGGCGCCGGGTCCGCCGGAGGTGCAGGTAGACACGCTGGCCCGTCTTGTTGAAATGTCTCTCCACATACTGTTTCCCGAAACCCAGGAATGTGTTCATGCAAATGTAGAGGCCACCCTCAGACTCCTGCAGGACAAGAAGCAGGGGAGGGAACACCGGGGGATTAAGCCTGGCCAGGTGGGGAGACGAAGGCCTGGGCTCGAAACTTCTGGTTTCCAAAGAAAGTTTCTGTTCTCTAACAAGGCGTGGCTCTTGGTAAGTCATTTACCTACTTGGTACTTAGTACATGGCTAAGGTTCTCCCCATCCTTTGGTAACAACCAACAAGGACAGCAGGAGCCGAACACCTTTCAGTCACCATTCCTCTTCCTCCTTGCTCCTTCTTTGGAGCCCTCCAATCAACTGCAGAGAACTCCCTCCACCTCTTCTCTGGAGCCAAGAGACCCAGAAAATAACAGGGGACCAAATACCATTGACTTCCAGTACCAGGAACCACATTCAGAGGGGAGCAGGGTCCTTCCTTGGAGAGGAAAGACCTGTAAGTCAGACACTGAACCTAAACCAAGGACAACATGACAAACCCCACCTGATCTCCAGGATTAAGAAAACCTACCAATATGCATAACCCATGGACACAGACAACAGGGTGGTGAAGGCCTGGGGCGGGGGTCAATAGGGGAAAAAGGGGGACACATGTAATACTTTCAACAATAAAGACAAGAAAGAAAAAAAACCTACCAGACTGGACAAGCAGAGATTCTTCTAGTATATCTAACCCCAGAGCTTGCAAGCAGAGATTCTTCTAGTATATCTAACCCCAGAGCTTGCCAGCAAGACCAGACCTTTCCTCTACCATACTCTGCTAGGTAGCTGAACCCGGTCCTCAGTGAGTCTTCTCCCTCCTCTCCTGCTGAAGCCTGACTCCAGGGGAACAATGCCTTGTGTGCAGCTCACAGCTGAACGTGGACCCAGCCGGGCAGGGATCATGCATTCTCCAGCCACCCTGTCACCTCCCCTCTGACCAATAACTAAATCCCCAATGAAGTCCCATCAACCTCCAACCTCAAAGCCAGCCCCTTTCTAGAACAATCTAGCAACACTTGCTGAGATAGGTGGAACACATATAACCCAGGCAGAAAACAAGGAGACAGGTGTCCACTCTAAACCACGGCTGACGGGAGAGGATGGGCTTCCCCCACACTGAGCAAGCCTCCCAGTGCCTCTGTGACTCAAGTGATGGAGAAGGTGGAGGAGGAAATTGGGACAACAGCAGAGTCTTCCCTAAGACCCCCCCAGATCCAAGGTTTTGAGCAACAGCAGGCATCTTCTTCCTGGGATAAAAGCCCCAGCGGCCTTGAAAAATTCTCTGCTGCCATAGTGAAAATAGGGCATCATCAAAGGCAGTTCTTGATCCCACAGATTGTGTTCCACTCCCTGGAACCGTGCGGATTATAAGAGTCATAAACAAATAGAGCCTTTCCCATCAGGCAGGTCACGTAAGCTCTCTTTCTACCATGAACCCGATTTGAAGATAATCAAATGTGCTGGAAGTTTGTGAGCAAAGCAACTCAGCCACACTGGAGCTCGCTTGACTTGGGGTGAGAGAAGTAAAGTGTAATAAGATGAGCTTAAAGAGGAATCCACTGACTTCTACCATCAGTTGGTAATTAAGAAAAACCTTTTCCTCCTGGGAAAGATGGTGCTTCGCCCAGCCATGCCTCTGGTAACGGGGGGCAGGAGGAAACCGCAGGGAGTAAGCTCCTCTGTGGGAAATGGAAAATGCTGGCTTCACCGAGGACTGGGAGCCCTGGAGCTCGGCTCTGAGCAGTCCCCTTTCAGCTTTAGCTTTACAAAAGCCAGACTTCAGAGACGCAGCACATTGTGTGAGGTCAGGCTCAAAGCCTAGCAAACCAAGCAAACCACAAATCAGTGGTGACCCTGCACTTGGCTTTAGACCACACTCCTATACTCAGCATTGCATTAATGATCCTTTCCACTCTGACTTGCAGTTTTCCTGGCCATGAGCTGGTCTGGCTGAACACCCAGGGCAGGGCCCAGCAGCGGCTGGAGGGGAGGGCTAATGAGGGGGGCGGATCCCAGCCAGGCTGCTGCCCTCTCAGTTCCAGGCTCTGCCCTGGCCAGAGCCTTGCCTCTGCTTGCGGGTGACACAAGAAGGGAGAAGAGCAGGAAGGGAGGTGCCGGGTGGAGCCCGCATAACGTGAAGCATGGTGTGGGTGGGTGGTGGCTTTGTCTAACTAGTCAAGAGTGCCAGTGGGATGGGCAAGAGGCCTTAGTGTCCTGTAAGAAGGAAACCATCTCTCTGAAAATACTTTGAAAAGGGCCCCCTCTGCTTTCTGTGAAGCGCGGGGAAAAAGAGGGGGCCGCGGGAATGCTTCACCTTAAAGGAGAAACGACTAGAGCTTTCCTCCCCTCCCTACCACCAATGACCCACCTCCCCGCCCCCTGTCCATATTAATCATGGGTGGAGGCTCTGTAGCTCGGCCTTTCTCAGAAACGGCCTTCCTCGCGGCCACTTCCAGACTACTAGCTGCCTAGGAACCGCAGTATCCACCCCCCAACCTCAACCGTGGCCCAGAACAGTGGAGGGTCGCCCCATCCTTCCTACACGAGACTACAAACCCCGGAGAACCATGCGCGATAGGCAAGGCCAACTCCCAGGCTTTTGCAGGTAGCCACTTGGGAGATGTAGTCCGATGATCGGGTTGCGCCCCTAGCTTAGAACGGCAGAGGGGAGAGAGCGACTACAATCCCCACAGTGCTCCACGAGACGGGGAGCGGATGAGGTGGGCGCGGTGGCTTCCGGGGGCGGTAGTCACACGGCAGCTCCAGCTAATTAAAAGCAACGGCAGGGAGTAGCATGGGAGACTACACGTCCCATGGTGCATCGCAAGGAGGCGGTAGCCCAAGCCTTGCAGGCCCCGGCAGAATGACCAGGGCTATGGAAGGAAGTCGTGCTCGCTGCGGACGTGGGGAAGGGGCTTACCGGTGTGTCGAAGGAGAAGGCGCACTCGTCTTTGTGGACCCGGTCTCCAGCCTTAGGGACCCGGATCGTCGGTAATACTGACAGCAGCGCCTCCTCACTCAGCTCCGCCATGACACCGGCAGTAGCTCCTTCACACAGAGCAGCTCCCACCTTTCCTAGTCCCCCTCCCCGTACTCTGGCGGTCCAATGAGCACTACTCGTTAGGTGCATGCGCTCCAGGGAAGACGCGTGAGAATGGCAGTTGGACGGAGCCTGCCTTCCAGTGCTCCGCCCTCTGCCCTACTCTTGACTAAAGCCAATGAAAAGCGCCTCCAATGCAATCGATGGTCCAGAGAACCAATCCCACTCTTCCAGGGCCGAGCAGCGAGGGGGGCCCCAGAGTTGTCGCTGCTCGCACTCCGGGACCCCCCACAGTCCCTTCGCGTGCCTCCTGCTGAAGAGAAGAAACTGGCGGTTGTGTAAATCAACCTGAGACTCTCCTGGAGACTTGGTATTTGGGAAGGGCCCACCTAATGAGGCGGAGTGTGAGAGGGCTAGAGGCCAGTGATTGATGACGCCGTCAACCTCTACGGATCACTATTTCTCTCGCCTCAAAAAAACCTTCATATCTCTGTCTCCGCCTGAATCTGTACATAATAGCATAATAATTCTTTTTTTCTATTTTTTTTAAATAAAATAATTTGGTTTTTGAAGCTGAAGGTCTCAAAAGCGAAGACTGGCACTCCTTAAAGTTTCACGATGGACAACTGCAGCCTAATAGGCACAAAATTCCCCTTTTATCCAGGAGGCGTCACACCTGGGTGAACCCAGCCGCTGCCCATCGACCCGGTGGTTCCCATGATAGACGTCCTCTCAGCCCAATGGCTTCCCTCCCTGTAGGCGGATCTCCCATAGCGGACCTATCGGAGCCTGTGTCCGCTCAGCCAATAGGGTCGCGGCAGGGGGCGTGGCGGGAGGTTTGAAACTCAGCTTCGGGAGTTGAGGCTTCAGCTGCCGTGCACCGAAGTGGAGTTGGGGTCCGGTAAGTGATTTAAATAAATGAGTAAGTAAGAGGGCCCCGCAGGCCCGGAATGAGCCGCCTTGTCAGCTGCACCGTCCCCACAGAGGCCTCTGGCCCAGCGGCCAGGAGGTTCCTTAGCTGGGATCTGGGAAGATCGGGTGGTGTGGAGTCCGAGGTCGAACATGGTCGCGGTGAGGGCTGAAACCGGAGTCACTTCTCACAGGCATACCCTCCTCGCCCCGGGCCGGGCCCTGCCCCACCCTCCTCCTCCGGATTGAGATGGGCTCAGCCAAGAGCGTTCCAGTCACTCCGGCGCGGCCTCCGCCGCACAACAAGCTTCTGGCTCGAGTGGCTGACCCGCGTTCACCTAGTGCCGGCATCCTGCGCACTCCCATCCAGGTACTCTGGGCCGCGGGAGGGGCAGGAAGAGAAACTGTACGAATTCTTGGGCCTCTGCCTAATCTGATTTTAAGAGAACCCCCCACTCCCCACCTCTACATTCCCCTGAATGTCGGAAGGCCTTGGCTTGGCAATTCCTGCCTGAAACATTGGCCTGAGGCTGGAGAGCTGGGAGGGAAGAAGAGTCAGGGCCCATACTTTAATGGCCTTTGGTCTTGACAGGTGGAGAGCTCTCCACAGCCAAACCTAGCAGCGGGGGAGCACCTGGAGGATGCTAATCAGGCCCAGGACTCGGATCCCCGCTCTCCAACCCTTGGCATTGCACGGACACCTATGAAGACCAGCAGCGGAGGTCAGTGTTGGGCCCAGGGAATTCTGATGAGGTTGTCAGCTAGCATCATTGGGTGGGGGATGGGGGTCTGTGAAGCCATCCTCTCAGGGCTCCTTAAAGGAGCCTCTATCCTCCTGCTGTGAACCCATCTCACTCTTTTCTCAACATTTTGCTCCCTCTCACCTTGATTTCCCTCTTCTCAATTCCTCACCCACCAGGGCATGAATCCTAAGGCTTCTGTATTTTTTTCCTCTTTGCTGAACAATTTGTATCAGGGAGTCACTATCTCACTCACGTCTCTCCTCTAGAGCTCACAACCCCGCTGGTGAAAGAGCTGAGTGAAGAATTTGAGACAGAAGCCCCCAAATCAAATCTGCCCCCAGAGCCTGTTCTGCCCCTAGAGGTACCTTCATCTTCCAACTTGGACTTGCCTCTGGGCACCCAGTGTTCCCTGGAGGACCAGATGCCTCATGGGAGCCAGACTGAGCTCCCCTCCAAGCAGGTGTTTTCCGAGGAAGAAACAGGACAGCCCTCAGAAACGCTTAGGACCAGCCACGGCTCAGACAAGCCCATGAGAGACCCTGAGACGCCTAGACCTTCAGGTACAGAATCTAAGGGCAAGCTATAAGGGAGAGAAATTGGAATGATGTCTTGGGATAATGTCTACAGATAGTTTAGGAGGAATAAACGGTAAGCCCCTAATTTTGGCTCCTTTCTTTAACTCTTTACCCACCTAGGTTCTAAGCGAAATAGACGGAAACCAAGGGGCAAGGCACTAGGGAGATCTCCCCTCACCATCCTGCAGGATGACAACTCCCCTGGGACTCGGACACTACGACAGGTAAAGGGGGAGGGGGAGGCTGTTCCTAGGAAGTCCCGCATGGAGGTGGGAGGCCCTTTCCCCCTGTCTTCCCTCTCCTGAACAACCTCCCTCCCTCCCCCAACTTGCATCCTGCCTTTTGTAGGGTAAGCGGCCTTCTCCCCTGAGTGAAAATGTTAGGGAACTAAAGGAAGGGGCCATTCTGGGAACTGGACGACTTCTGAGAACCGGAGGCCAAGCGTGGGAGCAAGGTCAAGACCACGACAAGGAAAACCAGCACTTTGCCTTGGTAGAGAACTAGGCCCTGGGTGGCCCCCCTGGGTTCACCAGGGTCTAGTGATATTCCGAGTCCTCCCGCCCCTTCTTTCCCTGGGAGACTGGAAAGACTCATTTTCTTCGACTCCCCCTAAACTACCAGCTCAGGAACTGATAGCGTTCTTGGGCTTTCTTTGTGTATTATGTGTTTCTTGTATATTAAAGGAAGTGATTTTAAGTGATGTTGTTAACTGTTATACTTAAACCTTGCACTGGTCGTCTTCATGTAGAAAGGCAGCCTGGGGAGCTTGTGTTCCCTGGCCTCAGTGCCCCTGCACTGGTACCTCCAAATCTCCTCAATGCACCTCCCTTAAATTCTGGTGTTCACCAGAACTCTGTCCTTGGCTCTTTCCTCTCGCTCTTTATTTCTAGGGATTAGCTACTACTTACCTGTATTCCGGTTACTTCCAAGTCTCTCTGTCTAACCCTGACCATATCCATCTGCCCCATAGGCAGTCCAAAGTCAGTTTTTCTAAAATTGAATTTGTGATCTTTCCCCAAAAAGCTATTTCTTTTCCCCTCTTCTTTTTTTTTTTTAATTAACATATTTTTATTGCCCTGGCTGGTTTGGCTCAGTGGGTAGAGCGTCGGCCTGCGGACTGAAGGGTCCCGGGTTCGATTCCGGCCAGGGGCACATGCCCAGGTTGTAGGCTTGGTCCCCAGTATGAGGCGTGCTGGGGGCAGCCAATCAATGATTCTCTTTCATCATTGATGTTTCTATCTCTCTCTCCCTCTCCCTTCCTCTCTGAAATCAATGAAAATATATTTTTTAAAAAACACAAACATTTTTTTTTTTTAAATATATTTTATTGATTTTTTACAGAGAGGAAGGGAGAGAGACAGAGAGTTAGAAACATCGATGAGAGAGAAACATCGATCAGCCGCCTCCTGCACATCTCCCACTGGGGATGTGCCCGCAACCCAGGTACATGCCCCTGACCGGAATCGAACCCAGGACCCTTCAGTCCGCAGGCCGACGCTCTATCCACTGAGCCAAACCGGTTTCGGCAAAACACAAACATTTTTATTGATTTCAGAGAGGTAGGTAGAGAGAGAGAGAGAGATAAAAACATCAATGATGAGAGATTCATTGATTGGCTGCCTCCTGCATGCCCCCTACTGGGGATCGAATGCAATCCAGGCATATGCCCTGACAGGGAATTGGACCATGACCTGGTTCATAGCTCTATGTTCAACTACTGAGCCGCATGGCCTGGCTTTTTAAAACATTAAAAAAAATTTTTTTTAATTGATTTTAGAGAGGAAGGGAGAGAAAGAGCAAAAAACATCAATCAGTTGCCTCTTGCACATGCCTGACAGCATGTTCCCCATCAGGACCAGGGATCAAACCAGCAACCTGGGTATGTGCAGGGGAATTGGGCAGGGGAAAGGACAGCTGAGTGTCTTCATGGCCTTTTACCTCCCCTCCTCCAGCCTCCTCATACCCGCCACCTTTTGGTGTACGGGACTATGCTCCAACCAACTGAGCCACACCAGCCAGGGCTTGGCCATCATTTTGAATCCTTCCCTCTTAATATCTCATATCCAAGCACTTGGTCACTAAATCCTGGTGATTCTGTATCTTGAATCATTTTCCCATCCCTTTTCTTGTGCCCTCTGTCCTATTGCTCTTACAATTTCTTGCCACCTGGCTCCTACTGTTCCCTTTATTCCCTCCTGTCTCTCCTTCCATTTCATCAACCTGCACTGCTGCTTGGTTTATCTTTCTGAGAAGCATAGCTGATCACATTATTACTCTGCTCAAAGCTCTTCAATGGTTTCCCATTGGCCTTAGGATAAAGTCTAGACTAGCCTTACATTCAAGGCCTTTTATAACCTGACTAGAGGCCTGGTGCAGGAAATTTGTGTGTCCCTCAGCCTGGCCTGTGCCCTCGGGGGATGTCCAACTGGCAGTCGGACATCCCTCTCGCAATCGTGGACGCTGCATGCACCAGTGACCATACTTTTCATACAGGTGAAAGGCATCTTACTTTTTATACAGGTGAAAGGCATCTTGCTGTTGTATGGGCAGCTACATTTCTTTGCCCTGATTATAAAAAGTAGTACATAACCCCATCTTATGGGTGGAAAAACTGAAGCAGAGAGAAGTTAAGTATTTGGCTTTGTCACACAGTTAGAGTGTCAGACTCAGGACTGACCACACAATGTGCAAGCCAGAGTCCATGCATGTCATTGCTGCATCATCCTGTTTTTTCAGTGTTAGAGTAGCCTTGCCAGGTTTTAATTTTTAAATCTAAGAGACTGTTCCCAATATATAGGGTAGGATCCCTAGGCCTGGCTGGTGATCAGGGCCGATCTGTGGGGTGAATGGCGGGCTGGGCAATTGCCCCCCCCACCCCCACCCACCTTGGCTGGTGGCCTAGCGCTGTCCACTGGCCCCCGATCACCTCCCTCTGTGGGGTGGGGAGGGCAGACGCTCAACGCAGGAGCTGCCCCCAAGCCCCCTGGTGGTCAGTGTGCATCATAGCGACCTGTCATTCCGCTGTTTGGGCGATTTGCATATTAGGATTTTATTATATAGGATTCCTTCTCAACATAATCCTCCTATACAAACACACATGTACGCACCACAGGCAGGCTACGGTGAACTGCTGTGCACGCACTCCCAAGCCACCTGGTGAATACCTTCTCTCCTAATCCATCTCCGGCCTTCCCCACGAACCTGGGGCTTCTGCCTCTACCCTACTTTCTGCCCACGTGCTGTCTGGTACCCAATCTTTCTCACTTGTACCTGTAACACTTCATTACTTAAGTGGGAACTGAATCTTTTTGGAACAGAAGTAGGGTGGAAACCAAACATCACAGATATACCAACTGCTATACTTTATTGCAGGTACTTTGGAGAGGGGAGAAAAAAAAAAGAAGGTAGAAAAAGGGGAAAACATGAAGGAGAAGGGAGCCAGGACCTTGGTGGTGCCAGAGCCATAGTCACGGGGCCGAGCACCCTGGCCACCCAGGTCTTTACCCTGGACAAAGGTAGTAGCTCTGGAGGAGGAATCCTAGGGCCTGGAGCCTATGCTGAAACCTGCTGGGCTGCCAAGGGCTGGGGAGGGGTCCGTTGTCCTTACTCATTAAGGGAGAAACTATCAGGACCACAGAGAGGGGAGGCCATGGGAGAAGGGGCGGTTCTCTGCCCAGCCCTGATGCTGTCTCCCAGAGGCACACCCTGTGTTCCCCACGGGCCTCAAAGGAGAAAGCTTGTGGGAGTGGCAGCTGGGGTATAGAAGAGAAAGCCTTAAAGAAACTGGGCAGGGGAAGGGGCAGCTGAGTGTCTTCATGGCCTTTTACCTCCCCTCCTCCAGCCTTCTCAGTTCCAGATTTTGAGGAAGCTGTCCCAGGAGCCTGTGGCCACCGCCATCCCATCAGCTGTGACCCCCAGGCAGCTGACCCTGTTGTCGTGGCCAGAGAGGACGCCTGAGGAAAAGGGAGAGGAGTCAGCACGTGCTGATGTGGCAGGGAGTGTGTGTGCAGGCACAGGAATCCCAGGTTAGGTAGGCTGGGCTCCGACTCCAGCCCCCTGGTGGAGAGGAGAAGACCCAAAGAGGATTAGCCCTAAGCAGTGCTGCTTCTCTTGAGGCCAATCTCTGCCAAGAACTTAGGGCAGGGGAGGGGCGGAGAGGGATGGCAAAGGGTCGGCAGGCAGTGTCCGTGTGCTGTGAGAAAAGAAAGGGGCATCTGATGGGCACTGGAAAACGTGGGAAGGAACCCTTTTGTGCTGTTTCTTTGTTTCCAAACCAAGAGACTGAGGCCCAGAGAGAAGGGACTTGCCCAAGGGCACTCGGAAAATAAGCCACAGAATTAGGGTTCAGACCCTGACTTTCTGGCCAGTGTTATTTTCATTGAGCACCTGACCTCTCCCAAGAGAAGAAGCCAAACTGACTCAACTGCAGACCAGGCTGGTCCCATGAGCCCCTCGCTGGGGGGTCAGGGCCCTCAGATCACTCTGGAGCTCGATCTGCTCATCGCATGGTTCCCCGAGGCTGCCTTTCCCTGCAATGAAGCCCCCTGAATCCCAGACCTGACTGGACATTCATGTCCTCAGGTCTGGGCACAGCCTGAAGGAGCTGCGTTGGAGGGAGCGGCTCGGTCCCTGGGTGGTAGGGAAGGCCCTCGGAGCAACTTTTCTTCCAGAGAAGATGACCCTACATTGGGAACCAAAGGGACACCCAGAGTTATCTAATGATCAGGGAGCAGCAGTAAGTTCGCAGCAGTAAGTTCCCACAAGGGGAGCTGCGGGAGGGCAGTAGGGGGACCCTTACCCACACGCTCGCCCTTCATGGAGTCCCAGACATTGCAGTTGAAGTCGTCATAGCCTGCGAAGAGCAGGCGGCCACTGAGGGAGAAGGCCACGGATGTGATGCCGCAGATGATGCTCTCGTGGGAGTAGACCGTCAGCTCCTGGTCTGCCCGCAGGTCAAACAGGCGGCAGGAGGCGTCGTCTGAGCCTGTGCAGATGGCCTCTCCACTGGGGAAGAACTGAGGGCACACAGGGGGCAAGGGGGTCAGGACTCAGACCCGGGCACCGCCGCCTCTCCTGCCTTCTCCCTGGCTCCTGCCCTGGTGGCTCCCAGGCAAGCTGCTTGCCTCAGCCTCCCTGGCTGCCCCTCCCTGGCCTTCGGTGAGAAAGGCCACGGCATCGCTCTTCATGCGCTGGTGGCTCCCCCACACCCTTCCCTGGCTCCTCATAACAGACGGGCATTATTCCGTGAGGCTGAGCGAGCGCCCGCAGCCTGCCCAGGCTCCCAGGGCTAGAGGGGGAGGTTGTCTCTGACCCTTCCCGCCACACTCAGTGGATCAGAGTGTAGGCGCAGGGCCAAGTACAAATGCATAACCCGAATCTCATCAGGAGGAAATGTCAGGTCAGCCCACACAGAGGGGAAGTCTACAGAAAACTGGTTTGTACTGTACTCTTTTAAAATGTCAATGTCACACAAGACAAAGGTAGAAAAACAGTTCCAGTTTAAAGGAAACTAAGATGTGGCAAGAAAATGCAACACGTGTTCCTGGCAGGAAAAAACCCCCACTGCTGTTAGGGATATTGAATACTCGGTGAGATGTGAATATAGGCTGTAGACCATATTATTGTATCTACATTAATGTTAAATGTCCTGATTTTAAGAACTATACTGTGGCTGTGTAAGAGAACGGCCTTGTGTTTAGGAAATACACACTGAAGTATTTAAGGGGTAAAGAGGTATGATGTCTGCAACTTACTCTAAAAAAATCCAGGAAAAGCCCTAGCCGGTTTGGCTCAGTGGATAGAGCGTCGGCCTGCAGACCAAGGGTCCCGGGTTCGATTCCAGTCAAGGGCACGTACCTTAGTTGTAGGTTCCTCCCTGGACCGGGCCCTGGTCAGGGCTCGTGCAGGAGGCAACCAATCGATGTGTTTCTCTCACATAGATATTGCTGTCTTTCCCTCTCCCACTCTCTCTAAAACTGGTTCTCAACCTGTGGGTCGCGACCCCTTTGGTGGTCAAATGACCTTTTCACAGGGGTCGCCTAAGACCATCCTGCACATCAGATATTTACATTACGATTCATAACAATAGCAACATTACAGTTATGAAGTAGCAACGAAAATAATTTTATGGTTGGGTCACAACATGAGGAACTGTATTTAAAGGGCCAGAAGGTTGAGAACCACTGCTCTAAAAAGATCAATGGAAAAATATCCTTGTGTGAGGATTAACAACAAAAACAAAAAACCCCACAAAATGTATATCTCCATTGGGATGGATGTGTGTGTCTAGCTAGCTGTCAATCATTTACCCATCCATTCCTCCATCCCGTCCTCTACAGAGAAGGACAAAACCAATGCGATAAACTGTCAACAGTGAATGTGGGTGAAGGCTGGGTGGGAGCTCTTTTTGTTACAACTTCTCTGTGAGGGGAGGTTATGTTAAAGTGGAAAGTTGAAAAGACGGGGGTGGGGAGCTCTGGCAGGGGGTGAAGGATGCGTGTTGGGGTGGTGAGGTGGTCCCAGGAGGTGGAGCACAGAGGGGGCTCACACAGATAGCGTTGATGTCCGACTCATGGCCCGTGAACGTCTGCCGGCAAGTCCCCTCCCGCACGTCCCAGAGCTTGGCGCTGGCATCGCAGGCCCCCGAAATGAAGAGTTTGAAGTCGGGAGACACAGCCAGGCTCATGCAGTCCCCTGTGTGTCCCACAAACACAGTCTTCTGCTGCCCGGTCTCAATATCCCACAGAGTACTGCAGGGAGGAGGGGAGGCTGTCAGCGAGAAAGGCCAGGCCGGAGCTGACTCCCAGCCCAGCACCCAGTGTCAGGCCTCACCACGTGGTGTCCCCTGAGCTGGTCACAATGTTGTTGTCGTCCAGAAAGCGGCAGCAGGAGAGATAACCTGGGGGAGGTGAGGACAGTGCCCTGGCTGCAGAGCCACGGCCCGCCAGCCAGCGGGGACTTCCCTGGATCCCTCAGGGGGGGACGGAAGAGAGGGCCTCTCACCTGTGTGACCAGAGAGCTCCCGGCTGACCTTGACATTGCCCTCACGGGACTTGAGGCTGTAGATGGAACACATGTTGTCCAGCCCCCCACATGCCACAAAGTTCCCTGAGGGGGCGTAGGCACAGGTCATGACCCAGGAGGAGCGCAGAGGGATGGCGTGTACCTGCAGGACGGCAAGGGGAGCAGGGGCAGGACCTGGGCTGAGCTCCCAGGTGGAGAGAGCAGAGGAGGGTAGGCAGAGTGTCCCCAAGAAAGGACGGAGTGATGGAGGGCGGGAGGCAGGGCTGGTACCTTATTGGTGGTGTAGGTGTCCCACACGATCAGCTTCCCATCTTGCGAGGCACTTACTAGCAACCTGGGGAGAGGGCACTCCGTGTCACCCACGCCTGTCCTTCCTGCCTCCCCTCCCCTCCCCTCCGGCACCTCTCAAGTCTCACTTGGAGTCCGTGGCCCAGTGCATGGCATAAATCTTGGCCAGGTGTCCCCTGAGCGTCCGTCTCGTCCGCATCTGGACTCGTCCCACGACTTCTAGGCCAGACGCAAGCTGCAGAAAAGGGGACGTAAGAAATCAGGGTGAGCAGGGTAGGTGACCAGATGTCAGTGTCACAGCCACCGATCTGTACAGGTTTCTGCTCTGTGCCAGGCTCTGGGTCAGGCCCCCAGCCTTAGAGAAATCAGTCCCCGCTCTGGAGAGGCTTAGAGGTTGATGAGAGACAATTAGTGGCACGTCGTTAAGTGTTTAACAAATCCCTCTCCAGTGTGGGGTGGGGAGGGCCAGGGGAGGAGGGAGGGTGATTTCTATCCTGTAATTCTCCCACCTTGACCAATTTCAAAATGTGAAGTCACAGAACACGTACTTAGGAAGATACGTACACATTTCCAAACCGCTAGGAGCCTGCCTGCACACACCATGGTAGCATAGCCAACTCTTTACCTGGGTATCCAGGTATCACCATGACCTTGAACTGCAGCTCCTGAAATGTGTTGTCCTACGCCCCTTAAGTCTATCCAGCTTCTAGACTTAGTCTGAGGCTTTAGGGCCAATAGACTTGACTCGCCATTTACCTGCTTTATTATCTTGATCAAGTTACTTGACCTCTCCGAGCCTGTTCCCTCATCTATAAACTGTTTATAGCACCTGCCTTGTGGGGTTGTCAGGAAAATGAAATTAGGCATTGAAGCAGCTTAGCCCAGTGTCTGGCTCAGGGTAAGTGTTCAGTAAATACTCACAAAGATATTTAATCCTCTCTAAGATGCAAATAACTCTAGGAAGCATCTTCCTTTCATGTATCATTAAGAGAGAAAAAAACGCTGCCAATTTTAATTGTAAGGCGTCATCTAGTGTTGGATGCATCTTGATTTCAAAAATGTCAAAATATAGAAAACTGTGCGTCTTAGAATTGACGAAGTACAGTATCAGACCACTAGTAACTGCAGTCTGTAAGGGTGTGTGACCTGCGAAGTGCTGTCCCTCCCTTCGTCCTCACCACCCTGCAGTGTGAGCACCTTTATTTTCTGGATGACAGGAGGGCAGCATCTTGTCCTTAGCCTCCAATACGGCCCCCGGCCCAAAGCAGACCTCACTAAATGTTTGTTGACTAAACTAATTAGTGTTATTCCTCACGCCAGGGACTTGTTGTACTAAAGCTTGGGCTGGCCAGGGAGCTCCCATCCCCTCTCCTCCCCTCAGGCCCTGCTCACGGGGACAGGAGTCTCACCTCTGCCAGAGTGGTGTCAGCACAGGCCTTCCTGGCATCCTGGGGGGAAAGCAGACATTAGGCAGGGGGAGGGCGGGAGGGGGGGTGCATGGGCCTCTGAGGCAGGTAGGCTTGGGGATCTACAGTTGGGGGACATCTCAAATATGAAACCCAGAAAGTCTCTGGTGACTGCCAGGTCAGGGGTCACTAAGGTGTCACTCAGGAGTGAGTCCAGCCTCCTTCCCCCCAGGCCACACTCCCTCATGTCCCCATTTCCACGTTTTCTGGGGTCCCCAGTGGGAAGGTGCTGGAGTTACTGCAATCTGCTTCTTGAGCTGTTCCGCTTCCTGCCGCAGCTGCTCCATCTCCCCCATGGCTGACAGGTCGAGAGGTAGCTCCGGCTCCGGCTCCTGCTGGGAACATGCGGTAAGTATAGGGGATCCCTCTACCTCGCTCCCCACACCAGACTCTCAGGAGGGCTGGAGCCCACTCCAAGAAATAGGGAACTGACAGGTGGCCTACACCACCTCCCCCTGGAGCCCCTCGTGTTTGGAGTCCTGTGCAGCCAGCCCAGCCCCGCCTGCCTTCCCCGCAGCCCCAGGCCCAGAGGCAGAGCCGCCGGCTCCCCCTTACTTGGGCTCTGACTGGACCGCTCCCAGGTTTCCAGCTCCGGTTCCCAGGCACCTCCTCACTCCCTCAACTGCAACGCCAGCCGTCACCTGCCCCGGCTCTGCTGCCAGAAGAGCTGGCCTGGCCTGGCCCCACTCTGGGGAGGGGGGTGTGGGCACAGACAGGGAAGGGCCAACAAGACGTCAGGCAAATTAAGTCAGCTGGCAGGGTGGGAGGAGGACAGGAGGAGGTGTGTGGCTTCCAGAGACTTGGGCCCAGCCTGGGGGAAGGGGGGAGCAGGAGTGTGGGCTATAGAGCAGCAGCCCCCCACAACCAGCTCTGGGGGGAGGAGTGGGGAGGAGATGCTTCCCTGATGGGTCTCTCTGCAGGCAGAGAGAAGAGCATTAGGCCCCATGGGATTAGAGCAAAGCTGTGAGGATTAAAGGTTGACGTTTGGGAGGGTGCAAAGGAACAGCAGCCACCACAGCTCCAGCAGCCCCCACCCCACCCCAGGCCTGGCCCCACCAGTGGTGATGATCTTGGCTGTCAGGACCTACCTGACACCCAGCCCCAGAGCCAGAATACAAGGGTCAGAGATGGCCCATTGTCAATACCCAAAACTGTGTTTCTTAGCTCAGGTAGTGGGGGAAGAGGGTTCTGGTGACGTGGGGAGGGTGCAGGCCAGAGCTGAGCTTAGAAGGGACTGATCTGGATAATCCTTCTTCCAGACAAACCCCAACCAGCTGCCCCAGGATGTGATTCTGGGGGGTGGGGGCAGGGGGAGGGTCCAGGGGATTCAGAAAGAGGGGTGGACAGGCCTGGCCCTGCTCTGGGTGCATCAAGGATTGCAAGTGGAGGGCAGCCCCACCCCCTGCTCCAGTCCGGGGTTGGGCCCACTCCTTGCCCCCATGACTCACGAGGTCCTGCTGGGCTGGGAATGCAGGAGTCTCAGGGATCAAGCTGCCCTAAGTCTCAGCCCAGCTCGGAGGGAAGACAGGTCTTAGAGTTGGAGGCCCACGGAGCAGCTGTCCAGGGTCTGGGTGTATTTGCGTGAGGGCAGCAGGTGGCTGAGATTTCCCTGACAAATCACAGGCCTGAGTGGCCCCGCCTCCAGCAGACACCTGTCTCCTCCCCGGCCAGCCCTGGCCGCTCCCACCTCCAGCCACCACAGAAACTGATAGGAACATGGGCCCCGGCTGAGGGTCTTCACGTTCTTTATTGACAGGCTGGGGGAGGGCGGGGCTTACTCTCCCCGCTCATCCTCCTCATCTGAAGCAGTCAGGCCCTGCCCCGGCCACTTCTTCCCAGGGAGGCACCGTGTCCTCGGTCTGTCCTAGGGCTGCAGGTCCATCAGCTGGGGCCAGGCCTGACTCCTCAGACCGGACGAGTTCTAGGCTGGTGTGTGCAGTGTCCTCTGAGCCCAGGGCTGGATGGCCCTTGTGATCCCCAAGACGGTGGGGGTGCAGGGACAGAGCGCTCGCTGTGCTGGTCCTGTCACAGGGGCCCTCGTGTGGGTCCTGGCACCGAGGCAGCCCTTCATGAGTCAAGTGGCCGCGTCCCCGAGGAGCTAGCTCAGCCCCTCACAGCTCCTCTCGGACCCGAGGCGGCTTCCCAGTCTTGTCCTGGACCCCCTGAGGCCTGCGGCCGGGGGGTTCTGGAGAAGGGTCTCTGCTGGGCGTTTCTTCCTCCTCCTCGTCCCCCTCCTCCTCCTCCTGCTCCGGCTCCTGAAGCAGCTCCTTGGCTTCTGTCCACTCCTGAGAGGCGGGAGGAGAGTCGGCCCAATCCCTGCATCCACCCTCCCCAAGGACCCTCCCCAAGGACCCTCCCCGGTCCCGTCAGCCCCTGCCCCTCACCCAGGAACCAGCCCACGCTTCACACACCTGCTCCCTGTGCTCAGGTGCCCACGTGTGCCACAGGGCCAGGGCGCAGCGCCGGCCCCGAGTCACGGCCCACACACCGTGGGGGTTCTCCCCACCAGAGCTGAAGGCCACAAGGCGTCCGCAGCGAGGACGAACCTGCGCCTGGGGGGTGAGGGCAGGTTCAGCTCCAGGGACAGGCCCTCAGAGCACGTGGCCCTGACTCCTAGGTTAGGACAGGGCACGGGCACGGAAAGATCAGCTCTCTTGCCCATCGCCCACTCCTTAATTCAGGGACTGTCCTGCGGCCAATGGGAAACTGGCCTCCCTTTGGGGAGCACAAAGGCCAGACAGGCTAACAGAGTTGGAGCCAAAGGGAGAAGGGGCCTCCATCCAGTGCCTCCTGCTGGTCCCCTCCCTCTGGCCTGATACTCTTGTCCAACCCTTTGAACTGGGTGTGAAGAAATCTGCGACATGAGGAGGACCAGGCATAAGGATCTTGGGAACACCCTTCCACCCCACGGAGGGCGTGGAGTGTAGGTGCTGGTGGTGGTAACCAGGGAAGGAAGGAAGACAAAGCAACAGGTGAGAGAAATCACTGTCCCTCTCCTTCTACCTACTTCTAGTCCCTAGTTTCCACCTGGAATAGGGACTTGGGGTCCTGTGCTCACCCCCCTTCTTTAGGAGGTGAGGCAAACATGGACGGCAAGTCTGCAGGGGTCACTGTGACCTCCTGGGGGGGACGGGGGCGCAATAACCAACCTCTGCTAGGAGAGCTCCTGAACAGACAAGTGGTGGAAAGAGCTGGGAGGCCAGGAGAGGAAGGGTTCAGGCGGCCCCAGCCATTTCCCTGCATTTGCTTCTGGGATCCTTCTGTTTTGAATCCTGAGCCCACAGCTGTGCTCCCTGTTCCAAACCACCGCCCTCCCCCCGCCCCCCTTACCCTGACAGTGAGGGCGTTGGGCTCTGTGAAGAACAGGTCCCCGCCCTGGAAGTCATCGTTGAGGTAGAGGAGTCCACTGGAGGAGGAAGACAGGAGGCCGTGAGAGCCCACCCCAGGCGCACCTGCCGGACCCCAGGAGGGGCTGCCCACCTGTAGTCTCGATAAGTGTAGGCTGGGGGCTCCCGCCAGCACTCTCCCGTGTCAGGGTCCAGAACGCAGTTGTCGGCATGCACGGGGTGACTCAGGTCCATGCGTTGCTCTTGCTCCCCTGGGAAGCAAGAGGGCCTGGTGAGCGCCTCTGTGCCTGTGCCCATGCACCTCGATCCACTCCCACCCTGAAGCTTGGGGGCCACAGCTGAGCAGAGAGGCCAGGCCCAGACGTGGGCAGGGGAGTCCGTCTTTTAGGAGTGAAGATGAACCCACACAGTTAGGGGGTGCTGAGGCTATGCAGCCCCCACAGGCCCGGAGGCCGGGGAGGAACAGTGGGGTACGGCGGTTACCTTTGATGGCAGTACGGCACACCAGGTGAGTGAAGGAGAGATGCAGGGGCCGTTCCGGGGAGAAGTAGGCCTGAGTTAAGGTCCGCACACGCTCGCTCACTTCCAGGAGCAGCTTAGCACCCTGAGTGCTCACAGCGCCAGCGCGGGCCAGCTGTGGGCAGCGGGAGGAAGGATGAGAAAGGAGGGAGGCAGTGGAAGGGTGAGTGTGGAGTCTCTCAGCGGCCAGCTCTGTCCATCACCCCCAGCTGCTCCTTCCAGGGGCTCCATGACAACCCCTCCTCGATCCTGGGCAGAGAACTCAAGGTCTCTCGGTCCTGGAGAGCCCCTCCACGGGAGAAGCCCAGGCCCTGGCGCCAGCCTCCTGTATGCATCGGACCTGAGCATCGGACGAGGGTATGGGTACCGCTTGGCTCACCTGTGCAGCCTTCAGCACCGTGAGCCCCTCGAAGTGTTCGTGGGCGGTGTGAGGGGATCGGCGGCCCCGATAGCCAGACCTGGCTCCAGCCTCAGCTGCATCCTAAATAGGGAGTTGACTGTGGAGTCACTGTCCAGCCCCAGACTTTTGCCCACCTCACTGCCCACGGACTACAAGACCTTTTCTCCAACGCGCACCCCCCCTACACACACACACACTCCCCGGAAGAGGCTGGAAGCTCCCAGAGATCTCTGGTGGCTTCTTTTCCAGAGCTGCTGCCCTTCCCCAGAGAAAGACTATCTTCTCAGCAGTGTCGTTGCTCCCTGGTAAAGATCTGGCATCCCACTGGCTGAGGGCCTGTGCACAGAAGGGCCTCTGAGAGGGCAAGGACAGCTGGGAAAGAGGTGCAGGAAGGGTTTGATCATTCCCTGATGAGCCAAGATAGAGGAGTCCCTCTGGAAACAGAACTTCTTCCGGCAGGAAGCTTGATAGTCCAGCCAGGTCCAGGCGAGGTATCGCTCTTAGAGAACGTGCGAACCCTTGATGTGAACCCCCACATCATGGGGGGGGTCTCCGGGTGTTTGGCTGTCCTTTCCCGACACCTATTGTGAAACTCAGTTAAAATACCACTACCTAATTATTCCATATATAAACCACATCTCCGAAAAACCACCTTATCACCACCTTATCACCCAATAAGCCATCTAACCTTCTATTCTTGTATTCATTCATTCATTCATTCACTTACTCATTCCACAAATTTGTACTGAGCATCTACTATGTGCCAGGCACTGTTCTAGGCACTGGGGACACAATTGTGCACGTGGAAAGGCCCCTGCTCTCATGGGGCTTGTATTTCCAGATAACAAACAAACCAGGATAATTCAGATAAATGTTATGAAGAAAATAAAAATAGAGCTACAACTTTGAGAGTGCCCACGGGCTGGGAGACAGCTAATTGATGAGGTGACATCTGAATTGAAACCAAATTATATGAAGGAGCCACTTGAGTAACTGAGAGAAAAGTGTTCCAGGCAGCAGAAATAGCACGTGCAAAGGGCCTGAGGCCAGAGTGAGTTTAGTGTGATCGAGCAACAGGAAGGTCTGATCCTGGCATCACCCAGGGCCTCCCCCTTACTGTCCTCTCCCGTTGCATTTCTCCACACGGCCCTAGAGGGATCTACTAGTCCTCTGGGATGGTGGTGACTCCAGACCCTGCACTGGGAGGTTCTACAGGAACAAGAAAGTCATCCCTCCTTAAATACTTGAATAAGCTGTCCTACCATCCTTGGTAGGGTACAGAAGGCCCTTCGCCGTCTCTCCCCTAGAACACCTCTGAATAACATACAGCCTGGTGATAATGGTGACAGCTACTAATACTGAGCACTGTCTTCTGAGATCTTGACCATGTACTAACTCATTTAATGCTCACAACAACTCTGTGACAAAACCACTGTACTATTTCACCCCACTTTATAGATGAGGAAGCTAGGCTCAGAGATGCTGAACTACATTGCCCAACGTCACACAGGCAGTCATTGTGGGGCCTGCCCTATGTGCTGAGCCCCTATATTCCACCGCAATTCCCAGAATACCGTGGCCTTCTCCCTCGAAGCCCGACTCTCCTCCTTTTCTCGGTCTCGTCCTTAGACTGAGTTCAAATGCCGCCCTCCACCCTAAGCTTTCCCTGACCTTGCATTTTGGTGCTTCTATTTGAAGGAGTACATACTTCTTTGATCAAACTTACCACCACTCTAGGTGTGTCTCTACATCGAATTCCTTCTCTCTACACTGAGCTCCAGGACGCAGAGTCTGTGTCCACCTAGCTCTCCCTGGAACCTAGAAGCTTCGAGTACACAGCAGGTGCTCAAAGCGTGTGTGTTGAAGGAACACTAGCCTAGAATGAGGACTGATGCTTCATAAAAGGGCAGGCTCAACCTGGTGAATACGGATCATTCAACCCAAACTAGGAGGGAATTCAATGGATGGGAGAATAAGCCGGTGTGTCCACTGAGCCATCAGCCAAGCCAGTAATGAAACTCTGAGGAATCCTCACCCATATATTCACAATTTTCTATGCCTTTATATTCTTTATTTTCTTTTGTTCTCCTATTAACTTCTAGCAAAATCCATTTGTGAAGAATGTAAGGGAAAAAAGAAAAGAATGTCCACGCCAAGCCCTCTAAGTTGAGAGGAAAAGGAACTTGTCCACAGCAGTGAGGCAGTGGCAAGCCCAGTCCCCGCTGGAGAATCAGAGAAGTTAGAACTGGGGGCAGGCAGCTCTGCCTGGGGTCCCTCACTAGCCAACGGTGCCACCTACCCCTGGGTCTTCTTTTTTTAAAATATATTTTTATTGATTTCAAAAAGGAATGGAGAAGGAGAGAGAGATAGAAACATCAATGAGAGAATCATTGAACGGCTACCTCCTGCACACCCCACACTAGGGAATGAGCCCACAATCCGGGCATGTGCCCTGACTGGGAATTGAACCGTGACCTCCTGAGCCACCACTGAGCCACGCCGGCCTGGTTTTCTTTCATAGGTCTTCTTACCTTGGCCAGCTGCAGCAGCACCCCACACTCAGCTGGGGTGAGCAGGCCGTCCAGCACCGCTCGCTCTGACCCATTCAGCTGTCTTGCATCCTGGGTCAGGGTTACTCCCTCCAGAAGGAGGACATCTGCAGGCGAAGGGATAAGGAAGAGGGGATTGAGGGTCCCCTGAAAGCCGGCCCAGCAGTAGCCTCAGCTGGCAGCCCCCAGACCCTCCAGGACTCTGCCTCCTGCTCTCCCAGGAACTTACCCTTCCAGTCAGTCAAGGGCTTCGGCTGTGGAGGCTCATGGTCCCAAGGTCGCTGCTCTTGATCCTCTCTCAGGGGTGAGAGACATGCTCAGTGGATGCACAGACCAGTCCAGATCCATTTTACCCAGAACCAGCCTCGCAGGACCCCTCCTGTCACCTTCCAGCTCAGGGCAGGCCCCTCCCACCACCAGCATCTCCTACCTGAGCTTTTCTCTCAGTGTCTCGGGGATGAAAGCTGCTGGAGTCCAGGGATCCTGGAACAGTCAAGAAAAGCGCCATCACCCACCAAGCCCAGCCCCGATCCCTGATACTAGACTCTGAACTACCACATCAGGCTCTGCTTCCAGAGGGCGGGCGGGGATGGGGAAAGCCCTGGGTGCTGGACCAAACTCTGTAACAACAACAACAACTTAGGTAGCACTCTGCCAGGTGCTATTCTAAGAGCTTTATGCATGGAAGTGGATGGAGAGAAGTGGAGTTACTCACAGGATCCTTGAAGCTGGTCCCCAGGTGCTCCATGGCATAGTAGAGCTGCCTCTTCTCGCCCAGGGACCGAAGGACAAAGCGCTGGATGTCCTGAGGCAGGTGGACACAGGGAGCAGGGGTTGGGGGGGGGGCAAGGAGAAGTTCAGTGGAGCAGGGAAGTGAAGGCAGGGCAGCCCCGGTCCCAGGGGACAGCCTGCCTGCTCCATAAACACTTCACCATGCCTCTCGCTCAGCTTTCCTCCCTCAGCCGCTTCAGGACATCTGGACTCAAACTGGGGGAGAAGTCTGCGTATAGGGTGGGGGCAGGCAGGGGTGAGGTTAAGGGAAGAGAGATGGGCTGGCACTTGGACTTGGAATTGAGTGGGGAGCAGGGCGTGGAGACAAGTCAGTGCTGGATTTGGGGTTGCCTCTGGTGACTAGAGTGCTTGGGCCAGAATGGGAGAAGGGGGCAGAGTCCAGGTAACTGCTCGGGTATGTTTGATTGAGGGCCTCACAGGGTAAGGGTGGGGGTCGGGGAGGTACCTCTCTTGGCCCCAGGCCGGGTCTCGGCTCTCCCAGCTGGCTCTGGTACTGGTTCAGAGCGTCCTTGGCGGCCTCATCCTCCGGATAAAAGAGCAGGACACTCAGGGCATTTTCCATAGCCTGGGACAGATTCCCCACTGGAGACAGAGCAACAGGGTGGGGTGGGCACACAGACCGAGGATGGCCCTGACCCTGGGCAGAGGCAGCGACGACAGGTGGACAGAAAGGTGATCCAATGCCAACCAATGCGAGCCCCCCACATCCCCCCTCCCCCCCCCACCGGCAGACATGCTCCTCCACTGCTTCTTGTCAAAGCTTAACTCAAACCTACCTGAGCTGAAGGGGCAGAATGCAAGGGGAGGAAGAGAGGAGAGAATAAAGGAAGGTGAGAAGCAGCAAGGGCAGGAGGAGCCCTGGGACCCATCTCCTGAGCTTTCCACCGTGCCGCCAAAGAAAGCCAGTTAGAGTCCTCCAGAAGTGACGGTCCCCACGGAGCCCTGCCCAACTACAGAGCCGGAGACAGATGGGAGGGATGCAGAGACAGGGCTCAGGATACCATCGAAGACAAGCCTTCCCTTGACCTGTTTCCAACCCATCACCCCGGGGCTCCCCTCCCCAACGGACCCTGAGCATGGGCCTCATGCAGCCGCCTCAGCTGGCTGGGCAGGAAGTCGGGGACAGGGAAGCTTCGACCAGGGCGTGTGGCTGTTTCCTCCACACAGCGCTGCCGGCACTGCAGGACCCGAATCCAGTGCCCTGCGGAGGACACGCACACGCGATTCAGCTCGTCATGCTTCTCCTCCCGGCACCGTGAACCCGCCATCCTCCCAGCTCCTTACCGGCTATAGCCTCATAGAGACCCCCCTGGCTCCCAGCTCCTTCCTCCTCTTCCTCTCTTTGATGCTCCTCAGGCCCCTCGCAGCCAGCGCGGCAGCTCTCCACCTGAGCCAGACTCTCCTGCAGGGCCTCCTCGAGCCTGGGCAGTGCCAGTCCTGCCTCCTGGCGCCCCAGGAGCTCTAGGCCTGAGTCATAGGCTGCCTGTTGGAGAGGGGAGTGGTCAGTCACCTGAGACCCTGGGGGAGGGGGTGCCAAATGAGATTGGGAGGTAGAAAGAAGGGGCGGGTGTTGCTCTCCTTCGGGGCATGGCCTCCAGGTCCCACTCCGCCTTGGCCCCAGGACTGGAGCGTCAGAACGTGGGACCTTAGTGATTCTCGGGAAGAAACCAAGCCCCAGATCAGGACTCCCCATCCCAGGTCACTGAGAACGGCACTCAGATCTCCTGATGCCCAAGACACGCAGGGACACCGTCCAGGGAGACGTGTGTGTCCTGTTAGTCAAGGGCTGGGGGAGGGACCGGGGTCCTGCTGGGGGTCTCACCCAGTGTGGGGGCGTCTCCAGGTCCCGGAAGCTCTGCGGCCGAACCCCAGACATCCGTCGGTACTTAGCCATGTCCTCCCGCATCTGCAGGTGCGTGGGGTTTGCTACAAAGAAGGTGTGAGCTGCGGCGGCTGCCAGGTCCAGCTTCTTCAGCTGAATGGGGGAGGAAGAAGGAGTCAGTGCCCCGAGGAGCGGGTGTCAGCCCTCTGCCTCTCACCAGCCCCCCACCCCAGACACCCCCTGGGGCTGCCCCCCCCCCCCCCCGCAGCCTTCTGGAAGACTGGCCAGTGAGAACTGCCCACCCCAGGCGCCAGGCCCCGGGGGCACCCGTATGTTGGGCCTCTCAGGAGCCCTGCGGCTAAGGAAAGGGCACCAAACACTTCGGAGCCGGTGAGCCATGGGCAGAGGGCTCAGTGGGGAGACCAGGTGGAAGCGATGGGGAGACCAGGTGGAAGCGATGGCTACTGCAGTGGTGAGGGGCGGAGACCCGACGGACCAGCAGAACCCGCAGGGCTCTAGGACCCTGAGGTGAGTATGCGACCAGCCCCCTCTCCCCCGAGCCACGTAGACTACAGCTACCGTCCAGGAGCTGCGCAGTGTCCACGCCCCCTCACCCCCGCCCCACACCCCCACACACTCTCCGCACCCCCAGACGTCCGTCCTCACGGCCCCAGCCCGGCCCCTCCCCTCTGACCTTCCCGAAGCT